TTTGTGAGTGTTTTAAGATGCTATTAAAAAAGAAAATCATTATGAGCAGTACAGAAAGACCAAAAGCCCCAAAAGGCAAAATATATGAGAAGGGCACAAGATGCAAGAGCAGCATCCTTGGCTTCCATGGGATACGTGGTGTGTCCKAGTCCCCAAAAGGTGATGAACACAAGTGAGGACATCGTGGCACCTCTCCCAGCACTGCCCAGTCTTGCAGATTTGGCAGAAAATGAGCAAAACCCCTCCCAGTCTCTCCAGCCCCAGCAGCTCTGAAGCCCAGGAGTGGTTACTGCTACAAATCAGGTGGAATGSCTATTCCTGAGCCATGCTCAGCAAATCTCCTTCCACCCTCTCTGTTGAAAACCCCATTCAAACCCTCAGATTACAACCTTTAGCTACTGACTGCCAAATTCCATCGGTTCTGCCACCAAATCCCACCCACACTGCTGCAAACTTACATCCTAAAACCGTTCATGTTCCTTCTCCCATCTCAGTGTTTGATGGAGGGGTCCAGAAATTCAGTGTGGTGATTAAGAATCTTCTAATTTCATACCTAAATGTATTCCTGCCCTATATATATGCATTTGATCTTGTCCTACCCTTCCACTCAGCTAATTCCTCTGGTTAACCCCAGAAGACTATTACAGAAAATTRCCCTATCTCGCTTGGTCTTTATTCTCCTGGCTCTCTGTCAGCCTGAGCAGCTGAGCTGGTTAAACCCCTGGCTCCAGCTGCTCAGCTGAGTCTACTCTATGTTCTTCTTTCCAGAAAGCAGTTTTTCTGATAYACACTAAACATCACTGGGGATTGACACTGAGGGGGTTTGAAGCCCTACAGGTCTCCTGTAGAAAGCAGAACCTGATCTACAAAGCAGTGTCAGGTTTATTTTGTATTCAAGACCTGATGAAGTCTGCCTCTGATTTAAAACGGGATTAATTAACTTGTCTTTAAAAATGAGTCTGAAAGACCATTGAAAGGAGAGTCTCAACCCTGTAGCCCAAAGAGTATTACGGGCTCCTATAATTGCACTGCTTTAAAGAAGATGCCAAATGTAGCAACACTAAACCACATGCACTGTRTAATCTAGTCCCTCCAAAACACAGCCAGGGTTGTGGCTAGTTTTCCAGGCAGGGGTTGCAGGACTCATGGATATTTTATGTGTGGTCATCAGACTTGGTGCAAGTCCAAGGGGAAGACCCTTCCAGCCCAAAGCGACTGGTTGTTCAAACCCAGTGCTTGTAGAGCAGCTGTGAAGTCACTTCAGCTTGCCAAAACTGCTCCAAAGGGGCCACAAAAATACTCGGAGTTTACCAAGAACATTAAGGTCTACAATTCACTTGAAAGGTAGGTATGATGTCAGATCATATTGTACTAGTGACCTCCTTGCATTGCTTATGGGATAAAAGTTTATACAAGTGCACTCCAATGTTGTAGGTCAAAAGTGGAGTAAAAATGAAACAGCAGCCAACATGATGCCTTGATACTCCAGGTCCCACCAGGCCCACATCCTTTCCTTATGCTTGCCTTTGCATTCCTGTAAAGTGCTTCTGACTCAGGCTCTTTAATATCTTAAAGAATGATTGTGAAGGATAGTAGGATATTGAGGATATAATACTTTCTCCCATAAGCCTGTATCTATGCCATGGTGCCTGAGTGCACTTGCACAATTAAAAAAAAAAGGCAGCATAGAATAAATAGCGGTAACGGATGACTCCCCTCATCCTTTACAGCCCAGTGACGTGTCATTTGTGAGGAAGTTGAATTTCCAACTAACTTCTCCATTTTGTAGGATTTCTTATTTCCACAGCAGAAAGAATTTACTGGTTCYCAAGGTGCAATGTGGGATATACAAAGCAAGGAGCATGGAAGGACTTCAGAAGATTGCTGGCCAGAATGATGAGTGTCCTTGCCCAAGAGATGCTCTTACCCCTGGGATATCTCATTGGAGCTTTGCACAGCTCCTGGGTACTGAGTGCTGGCTGACCCTTAGGCGGCCACCACCCTTAGTCTTTGAATCATCTGCAGGAAGCAAGTCCTTTCCTCAGGGCTTTCCCATCCATCCTGTAATTCCCAGCTTTTGCCTGCTTGTCGCTGTCTTTTTTACCTTTTTCCCCCAAATTCTTCAACTGCAGCTCTCTCCAGTCTCCCGCAAGCTGTGCAACGAGATAGGCTGCTTCGCCGTGATTCACGGCTGCCTTTTTTGCTGTYGTCTTCCTTCCTCAGCGTGGGTGTATGTGCCAGACTTCACCTGACGCAAGGAAAGGAAGGGAAGGAGAAGAGCTGTCTGGGGCTGGAGCAGCGCGCGCCTGCGTGTAGGTTGAAGGAAGGACACCCATCCCTGGCACCTTGAGGAACAGCAGGGGGGAAAAAGAAAGCCTGGTAGCACCAAGCCCGTAGTCTTAGTGGGGTATATTTGGGTCCCATTTGCTTTGGATGGATCTGCCCCAGGTAGAGACCCATCCTCAGCATGGGCAGCTGGAGCGGCGCAATCCTCCACTAACGGAGGTGACAGCAGCGATGGCTTCATGGCTGGATGAAGCTGCAGGTTGTGGCCTCCTCCTTCTAGTTTAATAACAAAACCCGTTTCAGCCTCTTTTAGTGCTCTCTATCCATCTTGTCTTCACTGGTGCTGTCTCAGGGTCAGGGACACAAGCAGGTCTCTCGTCTCCCTCATTTCATGGACAGGGAAGGAGCTGCAGCGGGCAGCGTTTGCATCGTCCTTCCAGCTTGCACAGCTTGTGCACTTCCCACCCTTTCCCTGTGCAGTAAAAACAATCAAAACCATCCAAAGCAGGCAGACCTACCCCTTTTGCTCACACAGCCCAAGTCTCCCCAYGGATCCAGTATCTCCCCATGGATGTGGTTCCTCCAAGCCCTTGGGAGCATCCGAGCCCTTTGCAGCCGCTGCTTTTCACACCAGCAAGAAATGCCTGCGGTGGCATTTCCAAGCACCAGCACATGTGGACGGCTCTGCGGGCGCATCTTTGTGCTCTTTCCATTTCAGCGTGGCTTAGGGCTTGGGGGAAAACTTAAAAAGCGGGTGGAGAACAAAAGCCAGGCTCAGGGAGGCTGCTGCGCCCGGCCAGCGTGGTTTCATCCTTAGCAGTCGCCGTCTGCACAGCGATAACTAGACTCAAAAGGCTCAAGGCAAGAGCCAGATGTTTGCAAACCTGTGTCGCCGAGATTCTGCCTTTGACGGGGACAGTTTGGCATGTGAAATAAAAGTGGCTATAGTTGGAAGCAGAGTTTAATTTCTGAGGTTAAAAAAAAAGAAAATTCTGTAGCAGGGGAAGCTGTCTTGAAAGGGAACAAATAGTTTGTGAAAACTAACAAGATAAAAGGCACAGCTAAGCCATAAATTAATGAGTTTTACACTGTCTAGACTTTCAGCCCAGGCTATGGCAGGAAGACCGCTGGAGTATAGAGTATTAATACACACAAGGATTAAAAAAAAAAAAAGAATAAAATTGGCCCTTTTCATCTGTTTACATAATAACAATAATTTYGAGAGATGAAAGAAGTGTATAGGCCATCCCTGCCCACCTAAGAATTTGAAAGAAAACATGGGAAAATTGTGGTATTTGCAGTTTTTCAGCTCAGCTTTCAGATTTTTTCCTTTAAGGTTAATCCTGGGATAGAATGAAGCCATCAACACCACCGTGGGCTTCACCAAGTGAAGGTCTCCCCACTTTGGATTTTTGTTTATCTCAACTCTTACTTKCAGGAAGCATCAAAGACATTTTCGGAAAATTGATAAAGAAAAATGATTATTATGAGAGAAAAAAGCTCTCTAGGACTCCAGTGCGCACAGAACGTGAAAGGTCAGGCAACTCAGGAACAGACAAATTAAATATACTTTCCCCTTCAGCTTTCCAAGAAATCCTCTGCAGCCACAGAATGTTTCAAGGCTTCAGGAAAATCACATGGAAATTTTAGATGCATTTTAGAAAAAGGACTTATTTAAGTGCCTTCTCAAGAGCACTCGAATATTGCTCTGATGTAGTCCGATATCTTTAATCCACTAGAATAGAAATCAGTAGAAAAACAGCGCACACGGCAATTATCTGATTATCCATCCTTATGTGAATGCGTAACAGAAACGGAGCACTTGGGAATCCATCCCGTGGCCTCCCTTTCCTGTGGCAGGCTTGTAATCCAATAACATCYCATGCTTAATATCAAATGCATGGTCAGGAACAAAATCTCTCTGCAGTGGCCAGGAAAAGGAATGACCATCACTCTGCCAAAATCAAAGAGGGATCCATGTTCAGAAATTTTTATCATATTATCCAGCAGACCTGGTGCCAATGTTGGATATTTTTAATATTGCACTATAACATAAAAAAAGCTCTTGCAGCTACARTTAGCCTGGATAGATGAGAGTCCTCCAGCAATTGTTCCCAAGCGATTCCTGTTTTCCAGCTTCCTTTTTGTAGGGCATGCATAGCTAACCACATTTCTACAAGCAAGTCAAAGTCCATCTGAGGGTCAACTCATTCTCTATGCGAAACTGACCCAATTCTAAGTCTGCATATATAATATTACTGAAATTTGCCTTTTGTTTTCATCTGTCTGGAACATGAAGACCTTTAGTCTCTCATCTTCAGTTACTGTTCTTCTTTTCTCATGGCTTCTTGCCAGGCACAATAGTCTCTCTCACATAAGCTTTCCGCACCCAAGGTCTTCTTTCTGGTATGCTGCTTAATATCATCATAATCTTTACTAGTTTTCATGAGCAACACTCCAACTCCAAGTGTCTGACCTTTGCCTCAGAGATCCTTCATTAGCTAATTGCCCTTGGCTCTCAGGTGGAATGTATTAAGCCATTGCTCATTCTCTCCCCACCTGGTTTGCAGCAGYAACACCAGCTGCATCATCTTATCCATCTCACTCCATGTGTCTTTGCCTTCCCCTTCATACCAGCAGTCGYGGTGGCACCAACCTTTATAAAATGGCCTTTGCTGGAGTGCCTGACATTTGCTTCTGCTTGGTCCAATGCTTTTTCTATGTATGTTTTACACYAGGGTCCTGATGATTTTGCAGCTTGGGTGGTATTTGTGGATCCATTTTCTGCCTATCTAATCCAAAGGGTGAGTGTTTTATTAGGTGCTAAGAATAGGCATGGGTGAAGAGAGGCAAATTCTTGCTAGTTCCACAGCCAAACCCACACCGATTTCTTTATTTCAYCCTAATAGGTGAGAATTGGGAGTTCCTGGGTAAGATTATCTTCTACTGCTGCCTCTCTACATTGCCAGTACCATGGAGATCCAAACTTCAGCTGAGCCCTCACCAGCTGTCTGAAGGTGAAGCAGAGATGATCCAATGTGTTAAAGACCAAAAATCAATGTGGCACAAATGTATTTATGCTAACTAGGGAGGGGAGAGAAGCGTAATTGCAAACACCACTAAAATAGTTTGCTAATATTATCCTGTTTAATGATGGAAATCCCAAATCCCAAGCAAAACTGAGCATTTCTGCTGCTGTAACAAAATGCAGATGGCACACCCTGATTGCTGCAGCTTCCRGATTAAAAATAGAAGAGAAAGATTGACGGATGCTATTGCTTTGTTCGTATAAAGCTGAATGAAACTGTAAGTAGAACCCACTTACTTTTCTGTGCTAGGAAATAAGCCTTTTAAAATGTGACTCATGGAACAAAAAACATCTGCAAGGGATGGTCTCTTTAGATCCTTGAAAAAAGTCAGCATTTTATGAAACTATATTGTCTGCTGATGTTTTCTGCTTTTGCAAAGAGAAACTTCTGTTCTGCATTGCTTAGATATTAATGYCAACACTGAACTTTGCCAGAATTTGGAGAATGGGATCTATTCTTTAATGGGCATCTCTAATGTTTTTTCAAACTGAGATCTGCTCGTATCCCCAGGTAAAGGTTGTAAGTTCTCTGTGAAGTAGGAGAGAAATAGTTTTTCTAGACAAATTTCTAGCAGAAATTTGCTTTTGGGAGATTGACTTATCCAAGATTACACCATGTGGCAGAGCAAGTAACAAGGCAGATTCAGACCACTTAATTCCCAGACCCATGAACTTTTCCTAGGCATAGGGAAGGACGCCTAGTTGTAGAATATCCTGCTTTATTGTTGGCCAATTAACACTGAGAAAAAAAATCAGAGAAAATTAATGAATCAATAGAACCAGAAGTTGATTTTTTTTTAAAAAAAAGCTCTGCCTCTAATCATAAGAGGAGAGGAAGGTGACACAATGGTTTCTCTTGCAGTATTCTGTTTTCYTTTAAATCATAGCAGAATTCACATTCTGCAGGAATACAGCAGATTAGGCATGTCTTATTTATACACTATTTATTATAATAATTTCATTTAAACACTCACGAAGACTTGTTTTCATAACCATCTGCTTCCAAACAGAAACACTACTGCAATTATTTAGGAAAATGTATGATCTTTCCAGCTTTCACTGGTCTTAGAGGGAAGAAAAAAAAAAAAGAAATAATTGGATGGGAAATGCCTTCCAGTGTGATTAGTATGAAAATATAGTCTATTTATACTCTGTTAATCAGAGGAATACACTGAAATAAAGTTCATAGTCAAACACAGAGGAATGTCATCTCTGACAGTCCAAATCTGTCAACAAAATGCATTTCTAATTATTTAATTTCTAATTAATTATTTAATACCAGACTGTACAGAAAGGTCATCCACATGCCTGCTAGGATGCAAGCTCTGTTAATCAGAAATCTCAGGGACAAAGTCAGCCTTAGACTTGGGTGAACGGGGACAAAGTAAACTTTTTTATATATTTACAAAGGATGTGCTTCTTAATTTCAGATATCTAAAATTTAGCCCATTTAAGCTATTTAAGCTCATTTTCTAGTTTCTCTGTGGAAATCCACCATCCTTTTCTCCCACTGTGTGCGGGACAGAACTCATCCTGCAGCCTTGGGTGTTTATTGGCCACCTAAACTAGGGAAAAGGGTCTCCTGACTTTCACTGTTGGATCAGGTTGTCTCAATGTGACTTGGGATTCAATAAGTGCAAGATCTGGTCCACTGCAAGACTTGGAAAAGCAAGACATGGAGAGCCTGATGACCCCTCATAATTTTGTGTGGGGACCTCAGTGCTCTTGAGGAGGTTTTGGGGGGTTTCCTGGCTCTCATGAGGGTTCCCAGCCTCAACAGTCACTCACGGGCCACAGGAGGAGGATGTGAGTCACGGGGACAGCAGGAGCAGGGCAGACAAGGGGTTTCCACGGGTCACGCTGACGGAGGGGCGACATCAGCCGGACGTGACCCGACTGAGATCCGCAGCGCAGGAGGACACGTGTCCAGAGGAGTCAGCACGGGATGCTTGCGCAGTCCAGCTGAAGGGTTCCCTGAAATGCGTTCTCACGAGGGACCAAAAAACTCCTGTCCTTGCAAACCGTGGGTCATCTGGTTGGAGCGAGCTGCTGTGAGTGGTGGTGGTCCTCAGTGACCTCCGTGGTGTCACCTCAGTTACATCCCCATCAGCAGGGACACCAGCAAGAGCAAAGCTGAGGAGACAAAGAAAAGAGAAGGAGGCCAAGAACTCCTTGTCCATGCGTGTCCACCTCTCTTGCCTCACTGTGCATTCTCCTATTTCAAGCCTTGATTTCTTGATTTCTCAGCTTTCTAGCGTGCTGGTGTCTAGCACCTTTGATTTCAGGTCTTTCTGCGCCTTATTTCCAAACCCAGATTTACTCTCCTCCTGCAAGAACGCAGTTTGTTCATAGATATTTTTCTTCCCAGCCAGTTCCTTATTCAGGCAACTGGTTTCCCCTTTCTCTCTGCTCTCCATGCTCAATAAAAACAAAAGCCCTGCTTTTGTGTGCTGGCAGAAGCCTCACTTCTGTTTTTTACTTTCATGCAGAGCTGTGTCTTCTCCAGCAAAGYGAGAAACTGCAGAGCCTCCCACCCTGGTGAGATAGTCTAGGTTATCCAATGGATCTTTCCATTCAGGGGGATGAAAACTGGACTTTTACCTTGGGAAACCTCAGTTCCTTCTTCCCTCAGACAATCCCCAATGAGATCCTACTCTGAAGGGTGAGTATTAAGGGCATCTGTGCTCAGGGTGGTGGAGGACAAGTGTCCTCACGAGGTCCTGCACAGCCTAGCAGATGCAGGGCTGAGGTGGGACATCGCTCCAGGCAAGCGGCAAAGAGAACAGAAATATCAGCTGAAAACAAAACGTCCCTGGAAAAGARCTCAGAATTTTTAGACAACCTCAGTTGGATTCTTTAATCTCGTTTTTCTTTCGGTCTGAAAAATCCCCCAAGTGAGAATTGTGGCTCAGGCAAACAAAATAGTTGCCCACAACTCTGCCTGCGAGTCGCTCGGAAAGCAGGGAATGCTGCAGAAATCCGAGCTGTCGCTCTTCCAGGAATTATATTCGACCATTTTTGAACACCCTCTGCTCCACCGCAGACACCGCGATCTGTACAAACTGTGTGTGTTTTGGCAAAAATAGAACAATTCCTGCAAAACAGATATTAAGCACACTTCTCAGCTAACAAAAGAGCTATCAGCATGTGTCAAAGTAATAGAGAGGAAAGACATAAGGAAATGGCACTAAGCTGGATAGCATTCTTAGCAGCTAATTGGATAGCAGGAACCCAGACTTGGGGCAGTATCCTTGGTTTTTAAAATGGTGCATGGAGAATTAAGCATTAATTGGAAAGRGAGTCATCACAAAGCAGAAAAAGCAAACCCTCACGCACCGCTATGAAAATGTAAGTTTAAGAATAGTAACAGCCAGCAGAGATATAATTAGGTTCACTTGTGGCCTTATCTGCAAACTGTGCTGAACGTGGAGTCGTTAAAAGAAATCCCACAGCAAAAGAGAACGCCTGCCCCGTACTAAGCTCTTTAAATGCTGTACCGTAATTAGGCTTACAGATGTTTTAAGGATATGCATGCAGGAATCGTCAGGTCTTTAATTATAGGTAGACCTGTGTGTGATGCACTTTGCTCTGCTGAAATACGTCTGTGAGGACTGGAGAGCGCTGGCAAAGTCTGCAGCCTTCACCAGGAGCAGGGCTGCGGGTTAAAGATCACATTCATGCATGGGAGAAAATGTTACGTGTGGAATTAAGATGCATTGGCAAGAGCATCATCATCATCATCATCATCATCCTTAATGGGCCAGTTGAATAAGACCAGAGAGCTAAGAGGCTAGGTAAATGATGTCATCTCTTTCTCCAAAACTGGATGTCTCTCAAGCTTTACCCACCCAGCGAATGCCCTGGTGCTTTTTTGTGTCTTTTCACCTTGCCCAGCCTGGCAAAGCACATGTAAGAGAGACAGAAGACCAAATTTTGTTCCATTTGGTGCATTTTTTTTCCTGCAGATTGTTTCTTGCACTAGTGAATGCGGTACCAGGGCATGGGGATGGAGAGAAACACTGTGYCAGTTCTGGCATTCCTATGGGCAGCTCTGCCCTCTCAGTGCCACGGGAGCACAGAAGGGACCAGGCAGAACTGGGCAGGCACTTTCCTYCAGTTTTGCATTGTAAAATGGGGAACTCGGCACACAATGCATTTGTTAAGAGGATTAAGTACTTTTTTTAAAGCAAAATCTTCATAAACACCAAATACCATCCAAGTGTCAAGAATTTATTGCTCCCATTAAAATGTTTTTTCCCTTGGAAAGCACTATGAGATCATGATTTTCCCCTCTCTGGGGCAGCCATGTGACTCACAGATTTGGCAGGTACCTCCTTATCTTGCAGAGAAAGAGTCTGATATACGAACAGACTGACTTCCCTTGCAGTTGACTTCCCTGTTAGCCAAGCGCTCCTTGTGGAAGAGGAGCTGTGATGCCAGGTGCTTTCAGGAGCTGGATGCTGTTGCTGCATGGTTGGGACTGGCTTCATCCTGGGGATTAGAGATGTCCCCACAGGGCGAGATGCTGTGGTCAGGGCAGCTGCTTCTGTGGTCTCAATGCAATGATGGTTTTGTAGAAGGGATGCTGCTCCGGAACGAACTCGCTTTCCCAGATTTAAGGCTGGAACTGGAGTTACAAGTCGGGCAAAGGGAAAGCAGCTGAATGCCATTGYTTTATGAGGAAAGAAGGTTTTGCATTTCTGGGGTTTCTAGACAATAGAAGTCTTGTCTGGTCGGCCAGGCTGCAGTGGGGAAGCAGAGCCAGAGCAAGCAAAGTCCCGAGCTTGCTCACAGCGACACAAACACCATGGGTGGCACGAGGCTGCTTCCTAGCYGTGGAAAACTCAGGTGGCAATCGCCACATCACTGGAAGGAGGAGCAGCAGTGAATGGCATCGTGCTTGAACTTGTGGTGGATCCAGGAGGAGGCAGCTGAAGTTCAGCGCGGTTTTCCCCCCGCCGCTTCACTGTGAGAGAGTAAACGAATAAACAGGAAGGAGCTGCATGTGGCAAGACCACAGTGGATGGAAAGAAGACGCAGAAAAGGTTAAAGGATGGTTAACAAATTTAAATATGAGCATTTCCAGACTCTCTTGGAAGTGGATGAAAGACACTGATGTGCTCTGGGCTACTCTCAGTGTTTTTGGTTCAGAGTTGAGAGGTGCATTATGTAAAATATGCTGTCCTGTAACTGGTTCACTATTTCCTGACCATATCTAACCAGTTCAAGGGGTTTGCCATAGTGATGTTTATCGATAATTTGTCATCAAGGCCATGTCTGAGCTTTAAAGCTCCTCAGCCTAACTTTCTAACTAGAACTGTACTACCTATTGCTAGCAGAAAGTCTTTTAATGGCAAAGAGATGTGTTAAGTGCATAGTATGTGAGAGAGCACAGGGACTGATTTGTGCTCAGAACTACTGCCTCTACTGCTTGAGGTCTTGCTGGGGATGGTGCACTGAAAAAGGGCAGAGAAAAGTCACATCGGTGCCTCTCTCATGGCAAACTGAGCGTGGTCACTGTTTCTGTTCCTCATACACTCAGAAATACAAAACCAGTATCGAAGCACCTGCAGTTCAAGACATATTTCCCTTTTTTGGTTCATGTCACTAGTAGTTTTAACCTTCTGTCCTTTTTGCCAGACAGTGCTGTCTGGTRTTACCTAGCCAGCTGTAACACTCTACACCTAGCATGGTTAAATCTTCAGGAAAAAGCTGAGATGGAAGCACAGAAGATAAWTCATTTGTGATCCAAACAAAGTCTTGAATGAGGCCCTAAAACCGATGGCAAACAAGAGAGGCCGGTTGTTTCACTGGATGAACATGTCTTCTGGCCAGGTGCTAGTCCCAGAATATGTAGAATACAGATTTGGTTCTCTTATTCCCCAAAATTCAGGTTACATGAGAAAAACATACTTATCGATCATGGAAACAGCTCTGAGATGGAGCCCACAGAGAATGGGGCTACATTGGGGCTTTCTTTCTACAAAGAAAACCAGTTTAAGGACAACAGCTATGAAATTTTCCTTTTCCTACTCATTTGGGAAGATATTGTTTGGAGTATCACCACACTCATGAGTGACACAGAGTTACGTATGGAAACATAGAAATAGGTGGGCATTTTAGTTGTTCTTGGCTTGGAAGATAAGATGCTCTCTTCTATGTAAAGATTTCCTGTGAATTTTCACTGCAAACATCTCTCCACTTTTTCAAAATCAAGAAGTTAGTCCTATGGGACTTCTAAATTCAACTCCATCTCTAATTTTATCTTCAAACCTCGAAATTCATAGGATATGAAATGGCAGAGCCATAAAAGGCCTGCAGGGTTTCAGGCCCCAGCCTGTGCTCTTCAAAGCTGTGCCAATTCTGTCTATTCTCACATGACTTTTCATGAAGGTTAATTGAACCCTCACTTAGAAAGCTTCTGAAGGCAYGGGGAAAAAGTCTAAAAGTTTGGGTCCAACGTCAAGCGAGCTAGGAGGGCTTCGGTGGAAACTTCAGAGCTGACAGCTCTTGCAGATACCACCTCATGTTAGACTTTTTCTGGAATTTCTGCCCCTTCCTCATTTGGATGCAGCCTGCAGCCAGCTGAATGGGGAATACAGCCAGATTATACAATAGCACTACTAAATTCCTGCTCCTTCCAAAAAAAAGTTATCTTTAGTTAAATAGGTTTTCTTTTCCTTGTCTCAGCCATCATCTTTGCAGTGGCCATATTATTTTAGCCCCGATGGTCTAGAGTTTATGTAATGTAATGGCTTTTACAGGAAGGGAGATTATCTTTTATTGGATCACTGAAAGAGGAGAGAGGAGCACCTGGGCATGCAGTCCCACAAGTGCAGAAARGATTTACTTATCTGGAAGCTTGTCCTTTTTGTCCAGCTTGGTCAGTTTGTCTGATAAAAGGCATTCTCCTTGCTAAGCTTGCCACCCCTGAAATACTACCGAAAAGTCTAGATTTCCAGTCAGGAAGTGCTCACAGGCAATTTTGGAAGAGCTGGAATGCCAGTCATAAACAAGACTTATCCTTAGGTCTCACGGACTGGGATGGGAGCAGGTCTGGGGTTGCGGCTGCAGACAGCTCAAGGCCGTTCCTTGGCAGGGTTACAGCAGCAATATTTATACAAGGATGAAGCGCGGCTTTGTCAAAGCGTTTTCACAAATTAAAAACTTTGTTTTTCCTCGCTATTATTTATAAAAGCGCTCAAAAAAAAAGAAAATAAGGCCAAACTCAGTTTCCCTATGAAAGAATTTTAATTGGTTTCCATGGCAGGACTGACTGACACTACGGGTCGTTTCTCATGAACATCGGTCCTGGGTTTCTTCTTGCTCAGACAACCGAATCGCTGCTTTCAGACAGAACTAGCTTATTACATGGCTTATCAAAGACAAAGTAACACCAAAACCCTATCATACTTAACTRTCCCGCTCCAGCTATTCAAGCACCCTTTCCTCTCCATGTTAGGCAGAGCCTAAYAGCTTTTCAGCTCCACAACTGAAGATACTCCTTTGATGGAAAGCAAAAATAAACTCTTGGGTATCATTCAAGCAGGTAGACCTGCTCCCTGGGCAACGTACTGAAAAACTTGTCTTGCTCTGCACTGGGCAGGATGAGCTCTCAGGTGACTCTGAATTTGCTCAGCATCTCCATGTAGTTATGTAGAACGGTCCCAGTCCAGCCCTTTCCACCACTGCAGGAGCCTCCTGTCATATTTAATCTCTGCTTTCTGAATATTGAAATAGGAGATTTTTTAAATTCATGGGCTTTACCTTGTGTGAGCTGTGAGAACAAAGTGAAGACAGGAAGAAGGTTTTCTTCTCACTGACAGCTCYGTGTTGGTGGCAAAAGTCTGAGGAATTAATGAGGAATTTATGCTGAGTAACCTATCTTCATTGAGCGAAAGCACAAGCCATTTTTCACCCATAATATGAAACAAATTCATTTTTGGCTTCAGGATGCTCCTTGAATGCACAATAACATAGATAAAAAATTCTTGAATTTAACTTTGGCTGCAAAAGAAAAAGGAAGTGTCTGTGTTTAAGACCTGTGGTCACACATGGGCCCTGGTTAAAGTCTGTTGATGCTGAATACTTTGCTGGCAGCTGCTCAATACATGGGAGATACACTTTATGCACCAAAGAACTGAAAAATAACAATGAACTACTAAGTTAACTCCCCTGATTGCTCTGGAAATGAACACAAGAGAAAGAAATTGCCAAGCTCGCTGAAATAAATAATCTCACATCTTTCAGAAATAAATTTGTATGCCTGCATAGACTCATAAGAGATGAAAATAGGATATTATTTTCACATGTCGTGGTAGCTGATTAGAGCTATTTGGAAAACAGAAGTTTCATTTTGTAGGAAAGACTGGAAATTCTTAATTCGTCCTCATTCCATGCTGGAATAAAAAGTTAACTCATGATGATGCAATAATCATGAAGGAGCACTGCAGTAAAAAAAATAAATGAACCCGTGAAGTTAACATCCTATTGAAACAAAATATTGACATTTTCTTTGGGAAATTAGAAAAGCCAGTTGAGACTGGTGTGGGTAGGACTTTAAACTGTTACTGTG